CCAAGCTGATGCTGATGCTGCTGCTGATGATGATGATGATGATGATGATGATGATGTTGATGCTGCTGCTGCTGCAGATGATGATGATGATGATGATGATGATGATGATGATGATGATGATGATGGTGATGATGATGATGATGATGATGGTGATGATGATGATGATGATCCCGCTCTCCCAAAGTAAGTCGAGGCCGAAGCGCCAACGCCCACCGAATGGTGATGATGCTGATGATGATGCTGATGTTGCTGATGATGCTTATGATGGTGCTGATGATGGTGCTGATGCTGATGCTGATGGTGCTGATGATGATGCTGATGCTAATGCTGATCATTGAATAACGTCGCTACCGATTCTGCTTCAAATGTCGGTGTCGGTCGCGACCGCTCTGCTTCAAAATCTATCGCTCACGACCGATCGGTCGCGACCGGTGGCGACCCATCGCGACCGACTTGGAGATCGGTCGAAATCGTTCGCGACCGCTGTGGAGTGCCGATCTGTAGAGTGCCGATCGGTCGCTACCGATCACGGGTGAAACACATCGGTACCCAATGATCTGGGTCTGAGCTGGTTAAACTAGCCTCGAGCGCATCTAAGACGAAGCCAGGACGAAGACAAGTTCGGGCGATGAACACACAAACACACACACACACACCTTTGAGATCTGGCGGCTCTGAAGGATGTCTCGGGCGCCGCGGCCTTCTCAGAGCGTTCCGAAACGCTCTGAGAGCGTTCCAGAACGCGCTCTGGAACAAATGTATCCTCGTCCTAGCTCCGCCCAGAACAGCCTCGAGCGTATCCCGATCTCCCAGGCAGACACGCCAGAAAAGGCGATGACAATCTTATGGATATGCCCTCAGAAACTGAGGGAATCCTGAAGGTCGGCATCGAGATGAGGCGACGCCAATCATGGGATAGGGTTGTGCTCCAGGCTGGTGATAGCTGGGCCGCGACGAGATCGGTCAAAAACCAAGACGGGGGGGATTGAAGGCAAATCCGCTCAAAATCAGCCCCAAGACGCCTCCCAGGGTCCTCAGGAACAACGCCACGATTTGCGCTGGCCTCCGAGCTGCCTTTGGTATCCCGAATTCCTAAACATTCCAAAACGGCACCGGCGCAAAACGTTACGTTACCGGCCCCCCGCTCCCCGCCCCCGTGTAACGCCCGTTATCGCCTGGGAATGAAAAACACTTTAAAAACAGCCCCCGGAAGCCGAAAAGAACAACAAAAACCTTTCCGAACCCAACACCTCGAACCTGCCACGGCCGCCCCTTCCAGCTGGCCGGGACCAATGCTGGGCCACCTCAGACCTCAGACCCCCAGCCAGGTCCAACCTGGGGGGATCTTGGTGAGGATGGCCAGCGGCTACGTTCGAAATCAAATTTCTTCTCCAGCGCAATTTTCGGAGACGGGAAAGGAAAGCTGAGGGGACGAAGCGGGCAGAACCGATGACCTCGCGTGCCGTCAAAACTGGTATCAGGGCAGACCTGGGAAGCACCCTTACTCAAGCTAAGACATCTCCAGTGTCCGACCATGCTCTTGGCGCCTAACTCCAAGCGAGACAGGTTCGCCACATGCACCAGCGGATGGACAACGGCTACTGCTGGGACGCAGGAGGACATACTGGTACTATGCGCACTCCTCGGAGGCACGCGTCCGAACATGATATGCAAAAGGAACCTCTTCTAGCATGACATTACCCCGCCAACGTAGCCAGGAAGCGCCCTGCTCAGCACAGCCAGCAGATTTCATGGTTCATGCGATACCTCACAATGGTATTGATATGACTTCGCATCGGAACGCACGCTTGTTTCTGCTCAATTCACCTGATGACTTCTCATAATCGCCAATATCATGCTCCGCCTCGCGCGAGGCGAAGTACGCGCAACGGAACGCAAAGCAACCCGTCAACGCGAGCGAAACATTGAATTGTACTATCTACCCCTGTTGCTCATCCTTGTCCTCAGTAGGATGAGTTCGTAAGACGAGAAGATAGGCGTTCTAACGATATTGGCTCCACGCGAGTGGTATCTGAATGGAGTTGGCACGTACGAGTGGATAAAATTGGAGTGCGTGTGGCACCAAGCAAGTGTGTCTTAAGCTAGTCATCCACTTCGAATAAATAATCGATATGCGCCAAAACGGCATGCGTGCTCGACGTGGGCCCTGGAAGTACTGCTCTAATCATAGTGTGTTGAGTCTTACCGACTGCATGATGGAAGTGGTAGAAAGCCAGTACCATTGGAGGCGCATCGCCTGTATGAGTCAAATGGTACGAAGGCCTTAGAACGTGAGACAAGTCGTCTTGGGGCCTCCTCTTATGCACGGTGACAGCGGTGCGAAAACAGCGCCACTTGAAACACATCGTCGGTGTGATTCGAGTGGTACCTAGGCAATGGGCTTGAAGTCCGATCGTCCGGAGACTCAGACCGCGTGTAGTTTTAAATCGTGCCGATTGGGCCATGCCGCCTGCCTGCTTCAAGTGAGCAGCACGTGAGCATTCGCGTCTGTATGCCTCAAATGGTACCACGCGAATGCCACCTGAGACACAGCACCTGAATATCTCCAAGGATACGTACCGTCTGCAGTCAGATCACATACCTGCCCAAAGTCGTACCAAGCAGTGGCCCTGTAAGGCATATCGTCTGTGTGCCTCATTTGGCATCATGTAATTGGCACTCCAACTCTATCACGTGCATGCCTCAAGTGGTACCAGCGGGGCACCACTGGAATCATATCGGGTGTAGGCAGCAAGTGGTACCTAGCAGATACCATTTGAGGCGTACATTTCAAACGGTACCAAGCAAATACAGCATACTTTCATATCAGAGCATGAGGTGTCGTCCCACGCTCCCCCTCAGGGGCCGTTCTTTGGGCATGGTTTGAAGCTTTCGCATTCTCGTTGGGATCTCGTCGGAGGCCTCTCGCGGGCGATTCCCCTGAGGACTTTGGGAAGCGGTTTTGGAACCTCCCAGGATTTCGCTGACGTTTCTTGGATGCCTCCTGGGGCCTCTTGGGCTGTTTTGGGGCCTCCCGGGGCTGCTTTGGGCGGAAAGCTTGGGTGTTCGGTTCGCTCTCCCCCTTTTGGGCCCTTCTTGGAACGGTCTTGGGGGCCTCTTGGGCCGTTTTGGGGCTTCGGATGCTCGGAAGTCAGGAGGGACTGAAACAGCTCAGGGAAATCAATGATCTGTGGCTTCTCGGGACCCTCTTGAAGGGGCCGTTTGTGCTCTCTCGTGGGGCGGCTCGATATTTGTCTGGGCCGTCTTGTGACGATGTTGGGCGTCTTAGGACCGATCGTGCGGCGCTTCGGGTCCCCCTTGGACCGTCTGGGCCACCTTTCGGGGCCCGTGGGGCCAATCTTGGGGCCCTCCTGGAACCGGAAAACAATCACGCGAGCAGGCGCGGGAAGCCTCAGGGGCCACGCAGGGAGCCCGAGAAGAAAAGACAATGTGTATCCTGGATACTCCGCAAGATTCAACAATGGACCTAGAAACATTTCCAGCTAGCGCCTCGAAGGCACAACGGCGGATACGTACATGTGTGTATATCTATACACACGTGATGGACTTCGCGATGATTAAACGTTTCGGTCTCGCTATATGTCCCTCTCTCTCTTTTTGTTTCCTCTCGCTCTCTCGGTATGTATATATATATACACGTGCACATTCATAAACATACGTTCATACATACACTAACACACAAACAAACATTATACAGCCGATACATGTATGTCTAACGATATATGTGGCACGATGGATGTCGTGCAATCGATGGCGCACGATCCACGTTGTACATTATATGCGGTGCAAGCCATGTTGTACATTTTACGTGGCGCGATCTTCGCTGCGAAATCAAAGTGGCGCAGCGTCTGGCGTGCAGCCTACGTGGTGTAATCTACGTTGTGATATCGGTATGGCTATATATATACACACATGTATAAAAATGGTGTGGGGGGCACACGATGTGTTGCAACATACGCAAAAAAATAGAGGTGGCGCAACGTCGTACGCGGTGCAATGTGTGCCGTGCAGTTGATTCTGGTTCGCAACAACTTGTCCACTCCACTGCTCGCGCAACCATCCCACCCACCCACGCGCAATCTCGTTTGCAAAACCCATGCAGCGGCGATTGCGATGAGTGCTTGGCGTTGGCTTGTGCATCTCTGCGGCCGTGCTGTCCCGCGCATGCTCGTGTGCGAAGAGGCCAGCTAGTTTGGCACGACCGACGCGGCAGCGATGGCGCTGACCGCTGGGTACTTCCCAGCGGGCAGTTCAGTTCGAGTCGGTGGCGTGGGCAGGCGCGGTAATTATCATAGCAACGTCGACAACGGCAGACACGATGATGGTAGTAGCAATGCTGATAATGATGAAGACAACAACGACGGCAAAGCCAGTGACGGTGCCGATGCTGATCACGCCGACGACCATGACGGCGTCGTCGCGTCTGCGATAAAGGTTTTGGAAGGAGTTCCACATGCGCGCGCGGCCGACGCGCGAGTGCGGCCCGCATGGTATTATTTGACACAGATCGTGCCCCACTGCACGCGCGGCAGGGCGATCCAATGACTTCGATATGCGGCGCGAGAGGCCCGTTTTGCCGAATGGAATGAAGATGTTGAAACAACACCATGGTTTTCAATAGAATTCGCATGGGAGCGAGCGCAGGCATTGCTGAAACCGGATGTTGCAAAACTGTATGCTGATATTCGTTTTCGAGATATTCGTGCCGATTCCGTGCCGATGCGGCCTCTCCGATCCACTTCGATCTCTTCCCCCAACCTCCGACCACTGCAACCCGAAGCCAGGACGAGGACAAATTCGGGTAAGGAAAAATCGAGATTCTCTGAGATCCGGCGGTGCTGAAAAATGTCTCGGGCGCCGCGATCTTCTCAGAGCGTTCCGGAACGCTCTGAGAGCGTTCCCGAACGCTCTGGAACGCATTCATCCTCCTCCTAGCCCCGTACGATTCGATCTCTCCCCCTACCTCCGACCACTGTAACCCCCTCCCCGCTGACGGATGGTCACGGTGCAGATGTTGCACTCGGGGCCGCCGTCCGTGTACTGGTTTATCTTGGCGCCCCCAGTCGGGTTGCTCATGATCACCCTGTGGAGCGCGCAACCGGAAAGAAGAAGAGGAGCGGAGCGAGGATGGATGATGGGTACGCTTACGTCGGGCATGTTCCTTCACAGGCGGATCTCGAAAGAAAATATATCATTGTCAAAGAACATGAAACACATAAAAATGATAGAAAAATCGTCCCCACACTATTTTCTACTATTTTTGAATACTCCTCCCGTGAAGGGACATGCCCCGACTTAAGGGTACGCGGACCGTGGAAGACTCCCGACGTCATTATTTGTTCGCGACGTGGACGCCCACAGAGATCTTGAACCGCAGCCCAGGAACCCGCTGTGCATCATCCATCATCATGAATCGTTTCTGGTGGCCGGCAGGAGCGGGGCAAAGGTTCCCGGTTGCAGTAAATCTAAAAAAAGAGAAACAACAACTGCATAAACAGAAACTTTTGGCGGTCCGCGCGAATCTCTTGGATCTGCGCTGGAACCCCCTCCCTGGGGTGCGGAGCGCGCCAGGGGCGGTGCCGGAGGCGCCGCCGGGGGGGTTCTGCGCAGATCCAAAAAATCCGCGCGGAGCGCCACAAGTTAATAGTTTATGGTCAGTTTAGAGTCTTCGAAGTAAATCTCAAAAAGCTGCCCGTCGCGATTCTCTGACAGCGTGGCACTAAGAGGGTTCTGGTCACCGTAAGGACAGACAACAGAAGAGCCCCACAGAAACTGCGCTCCCGCCAGAATGTCGGGCTGCACGTTTGGTCTGGACGGCCCCGATCCCTTAAACTCGGGTGCACGTGGCCGCGCTGTCACCCCTGCCTCGGCTGCATCTGTTCTTTCCCAGGGATTGCCGGCCGTCCTTTTCCTGCTCCTCGACACGCCGCTTCACCTTTGCTGCTGTGCTCGACGCGAGGGGGTCTGGGGTTACGCCTACGGTTCCCCTTGCGCGGACGCCCTCAGAGGGGATGAGGCCGAACGCCCTTGCGCGGACGCCCACAATGGGGATGAGGTCGAGCGCCGTAGCGCGGAATACGACCCCTCCCAGACCATGCAACCGTCGCGCTGCCCCGCCCCGCCGCTTCTCGCCTATGCGCCTGCACTGGAGAGGGCACCTTCTCGTATGCCCGACAGCGAACGACGACAAATGGCTGATCGTCGTCGTCGTCCTCCTCCTCCTCCTCCTCCTCTTGCGCAGGTCCTGCCACTCCTCTAGGGCTCCCAACTTCGCGCTTCGCGCTCCGCGAAGCGCGAAGCGCGAATAACTTCGCGCTCTCGCGCCGCCCCCCCAGAGGGAGAAGAGGAGGACGAAGAGGAGGGGGAGAAGGAACGAGGACCGCGAAGCGCGAAGCGCGAATAACTTCGCGCCCTCGTGGGAGCCCTTGCTCCTGCCCCTCCGCATCCTCCGCCTCCTGCTCTTCCAGTCTGGGGGCGAGAAGGCGGGGCGGATCGGGTCGGGGGCAACGACCGCGGCACGGATGGATCGCCGATAAGGGGCCCGATAGCCGACAACGCCTGGGGCCGCTGGGCTTCGCTCCTGGGCACCCGTCGCCGATCTGTCGGCGAAACATCGCCGATTCCAGCTCGATGATCCGCCCCTGTGCGATGATCCTCAGAGCGTGTATTTGGCGCCGACGTGTCTGTCCACCGGCGCCCCCCAATGCGACGCAGGCGGCACAGTTGACGAGGGCCAACACGGGCTGGGTGCGGTCGACGGAGCTGAAGGAGGTAAAGCACACATTGGGGTACTAACACACGTCCCGAGAGCCATCGACCTGAGCCTCCCCCCCAAACTGTTCGGGGAGACGTAAGACTCGTGTTGGCCTGACGGGGGCGCTAAGAAAATGACGAGACCCAGTCTGAAATACGGACCAGTGCAGACCCAAGACCCATCAACAATATTGCATTGAACCCGCCCTCCAAGATCCCCCCTGCAAGGTTTCATGCTCTCTGACGGAATTGGCATCCCGTTTGAAGACAACCGATTGGAAATCTTAAACTGTGCCATAACACAAATGCTGGGACGTAAACGCCGCGAATCACCGTTACTGCTGCGTATTGGCAATCCTGAATCGTGCCAGAACACCAGTCCTGGGACTTCAAAACCACGAATTCACGTAACTGCTGCGCCATGGCAATCCGACATCGTGTCGAACACCACGGCTGGATTCTTAACCATGATAACCCTTGAACAAATGTACCTTGAAACGATCGTGTGCGTGGTTACAGCAGGAACCCCATGTTGAAAAGGAATGACCCTCCATGCGTACAATCATGCAACTGTTGAATCCGAATGCACGGGGCACTAAGGCGAGAAACACATGTAGAAAACCAACCGCCCACAATCCGTGTAACTATTACACATGGTGAAGACGAATGTGCGCGGCGCAAAGGCGAGAACTATAGTTTGAAAAACGGCCCGCCCTCCATCCGTAAAACGTTTGCGAAACTCTAAAGCAGCTGTGCTCGGCGCAAAAGCGACAGCCACATTTTGAAAACGATTCCCACTAACTTCGCGATACCTTTGCAACAATTTAGCTTCAGGCGAGAACGCATCTCAGGCGAAACGTCCGGCCCGCCCTTTCGACTGGCCTCCTCGGGGTGCGACACGGAGGAGTTACTGTATATAAGGTCAAGGAATTCAGGAGAAAGGGATGAGGACGGATAAGGAGGGGGAATGGAGAAAGGGAAGGAACAACTGGATGAGGGACTTGAAAAGCTTCAGGCCCGCAGCGCTGCTCCTGCAGAGGCAGCTGCGACAGAGGCCCGAAATACCACAGGCGAAACCACGTTACATGGGCGATCGGTAATGGAGGGCATGGGCGCTCTCGAAGACATGCGGGTCGCCATTTTTGTTAATCGCTCTCGTCCTCGTCTTCGTCCCTCTTCGTGCTGGCCCAATCTCACTTTCCTCCAAGTGAGCTTGCTCATTGGATTCCAATCTCAATCCGTAGAGGATTGGTACACTGGTATTCCCGCTTTTACTTACCTCGAACTGTGGCAATGGCTGCATCTACTGTTGCAACGGCTTCCTCTCCTATTGGAACGGCTTCCTCTGCTCAGTGGCGTCCCGACAGTCGTCCAGAAATCGTCAAACTAAGAAGTAGAGTAAAGCAGAGAAAGACATAATAAAGAAAAACAGATGAGCAGAGTCGAGCCCGCTGGACGGGGCGAACGGGGCCTGAAGGTCTCCTTCTTCTCGTACCGCCCCCTCCCGGGCTTGATGTTTATCGTCACCGTGGCCTCGCGCCAGGGCATAGCCGACGGCAGCGACAACGCCGACGACGACGACGACGCGACGACGACGACGGCGACGGCGACGCCGACGCCGACGCCGACGCCGTCGCCGACGCCGTCGCCGACGCCGACGCCGACGCCGACGACGACGGGGGGCTGGTGGTGCTCCGTGGCGCGCCCTCGTCGTAGGCTGCCCCTGGCGTGCTCGCGCTTGCCGTCGTCCGACTCCTCCTCCTCCTCCTCCTGCTGCTCCTCCTCCTCGTCCTGCTCTGCCTCCTGCTCTGCCTCCTATGGAGGCAAGGTTCATATCCAGGGCGTCTTGGATTCTTTGGAGGAGCACCACAAGGCCGAGGCGCACTGGATATGGATAAAAATCGAGCCTCCGGGGGGCACCATTATCCATGTCCAGCGCGCCTCGGGTACCCGGGGAAGGGAACCCGATACTCCATCTCGCAGTGGATATGGACAGAAGTATGGACAAACTCCTCCTCCTCCTCCTCCTCCTCCTCCTGCTCTGCCTCCCTACTCCTCGCTGGAGGATCGTCATCGTCCTGCTCCCGCGGCGCATCTCTGCCTCCTGCCGCTCAACCGCATACTGTGATCCGCGATAAGGATGCAAGGACCCTGGACGCCCACCTCGAAACTTTTCGAACGGGGCGCGGCCAACGAGAGCGGCAACGAATGGACCGATGAGGCACGGATGCAAGGGCACCAATGGGGAGGTTGCCCATCTTTACTATGCTGGCCGACTGTATGCCCCCTCCTCCTCCCCCGCTCCCCTTCCTACTGCTTCGGGGTCGTGGCGACGCAGCCAACTCCTCTCTGGGGCTCTTCAGGCACTGACCCTGCCAGCAAAGCCGCGGGCGCAAAGCGCTAACGGGTTGTCCGCAGGAGGCGACGAACCTCGGTAGCCAAAAACGGACATCGTGAACCTCCCCTGATCGTGTGCCCTTATCCTTCTGCCCCCCTGTCCCACTCCCCCAACTCCCCGATCCTCCAAATACTCCCCCCACTCCCGTCCCGCCCTCCCGGCCCCTGCCGATCACCATACACCGTTCTACCCATCTCCCCCCTCCTCCCCTTCTCCTCTCTCCTATCTCTCTCCTCCTCCTCCTCGTCCTCCTCCTCCATTATCTCCTCCTCCTCCTCCTCCTCCTCCTCCTCCTCCTCCTCCTCCTCCTCCTCCTCCCCTCAGCCGTCTCTTTGTCCTCCCTCCTCCGTTCCACCTCCCCTCTGCTCCCTTTTTTCCCATACGCATCCCTCTGGACTCCTTGAAGAGCGCCGAGCTTCCAGAGAAGTATTGATCTTCCCAGGGGCAAATGAACGGGGCAAGGGGGGGGGCGGGAGGGGGCACACCCCGTCGAGACGTCATGCGCGCGGTCCGCCTGAGCTGCTCATACAGTCAAAACTGATAGTGAGGATGCGCGATCCAGTAAGGGTCCGACCACAAGAAACCTTCCACAAGAAACCCAACCCTGAGACCCCAGGACGTCCATCGATTTTTGGTGTGGGAACGCCACGCTCTCCACAGCAAAACCATCGAGACCCAAGAAACCTAGGGCACCCTGGAGGCAAGCACGGTGGTTCTTGGCATGGGTCTCCACTGCAAGGATGCAAGCCCCTTGAACGCCCAGGTCGAAGCTTTCCGTCGAGCTGGGATGACCTTCGCAAGGGGCTAAAGATGGGCCGAGGAGGCAAGGATGCAAGCGTTCCCCTGGAAGGTGACCCATCCTTACTGTCGGATTCGACTCTAACTCATGGGTTCCGTGACAACACTGCACTGCAGGATCAACACATCCTCATACATGTAAACTTATAAACATATAAACGTCCGAAGATCTGCGCGGATTCCCGCAGTCGTTGCCGAATCCCCCTCCCTGGCGCGCGGAGTTTGGGCGCGAATTCATAGGGGGGTGATGCGTTGGGGGGGAAAGAACAGGGTGCCCTTTTGGGGCCCCGAGTGCCCCTGTCTGGGCCTTCAAGGGCCGATCTAGGGGCCCAAAAAGGGCCCCTGCTCGGCAGCCCTCGGCGCCCCCCCATTTATCATTGGGTCGGGCATGTCCTCCTACAGGCGGTTCCTGGAAGAACATGCAAATACTTTGAACAAATCGTAAATCATCAATAATAGTAGGAACGGCGTCCCCGTACTATGTTCGTAATATGTTTGAAGATTCCTCCTGTAGAGGAACATGCAACCCAGAAATGTATCGCCCCCCCATAAAGCGAAAACCCATCCGCCGCGCGGCCCGGAGCTCCGGGCGATGACCTCCTGGACGACGCCCGAGATGCGTCGACGCGCGGTAGCGTTCCTCCCACGGCGGCGGCGGTGCACGGGTGCCTGCCGCAGCGCGAATCGTTTACCACCCCTGAGATCCTGGCGCTGCAATTTTTTCACAGGGTCCAGGGCACCGGGCGTGTTTTGTTTTTTCACGATGGCGCAACTGTTTTGCAACGTCGGATCTCAGGGACTGAGCGGTGCTCTGGGTGGGCTCATGGTCTGGGCCTCCCGCGTGGGGCCGAAGCAGATTGAGTCGGGAGATCGCGACGCATCGCCGATGCACTGGCGAGTGTCGGCTATGCGTCGCCGCCCTCGGCGCGGAGGAGATCGGGCGTTACATATCGAGCCGCCTCGCCGACGCCTCGGCGACGCGGCGCGAACCTGCGACCCCATATATTATGGTGCCATCTGAAAGGCCTGGAGCATGAGTCATGAGCGTGGCGGGCGGAGCGCGTGGGCGGATGAGCCTGGGTGCGACGCCTTCGCCGAAGAGCGACGACCATGAGCGCGTCGGCGGATGGCGACGACTGCGACGACCTCGACCAGCGGCGGCCGACGGCGGCGACGGCGGCGACTTCGACGAGCGACGGCGATCGACCTCGGCGACGAGCGACGAGCGACGAGGGGGCCCGCCGCCCCGCCAGCCGCCGCCCGCGGCCACCGCTGCCACACCCGCCCGCCACCGCCCAGTCGCCCACGCCACGGCCCTGCCGCCCCCTGTCCGACGCGCCCGCCGACACCGACCCCGGGGGGGAACCTGCGAACGGCCTCCCGCGCTCGCGCCGGGCAAGGCTGGAGTCGGGCGTGCCCCCCTCGAGGCGGATTTGGGACGACGAATAAAAGATACCCCCAACATGCTCAACAAATGCTCAAGAATAGCCAAAACGTAGTCCCCATACAATTTTTAAGCTATCTTTGAAGATTCCCCCTGTAGAGGGACAGGCCCGACTTAGAACTCGCGACGAGCCTCGCGCGCTCGCGCCGGGCAGGGCAACGGGCGCCGCCTCGCAGGCCACGGGAGGCGGGGCCCGGCGCCGCCCCAGGAGAGGCCCGCGCGGAGCTCCGAGCCGCTCTGCCCGTGCGGCGCTGCTCTGACTCCCCGTCGCTCGGGCGTCCATTCCCCCGTGCTCTGTTCGGTTTCGAATGCGTGTTTTTTTTTGCTCGAGGCTCCCGGAGGGTCCCCGATGGTTCTCGCCGAGAAAAAATGCACACGTCCGAGCGATGCCAAGCCTCAGAGGAGAGGGGCCAGGAGGCAGGCGACGCGAGGCTCGCTCAGCGGCGGCCTCCTCCTGCTGGGCCTTCATCGTGAGGACGTCGTCCACGTGGTCGAAGTCCCACCCGCCGACGGCGTCGCCGTCCTGCGCAAACGCGACGCGCGCGCGGGGGCAGGCACGGGCCGCCGCAAGCCGTCGCCCTCCGACGGGCCGTCCTCGTGTGTGTGTGTGTCAAGGGCCCAAGGACACACACACACACATATATATATATATATATATATATATAAATACACATAAATAACAGGATCCCCCATATGTTCACACATTTTCTTATTTTGTCCTCCCAACACTTCCCATATTTTCCCCTGTTGTCTTGGGAATCGACGATTCATTGTGTCTGTGTTTTTGCCCCTCCTGAGTGTAGTTCGGCGTGACCCCGAACATCCTTCTGCCAGAGCGAGGGCCGGAACACGAACACCTTGTGCCAGCTGGACGGGCACCTGACCGACTTCCTGAATCAGAACAAAAACAAACGCCATACACAGAAACTTTTGGCGCTCCGCGCCGATTTCTTGGATCCGCGCCGGACCCCCCTCCCTGCCTGGCGCGCGGAGCGCGCCAGGGGCGGCGCCGGAGGCGCCGCCGGGGGGCCCCGCGCAGATCCAAGAGATCCGCGCGGAGCGCCAAAAGTGAATGTTTCATGGCGTTTTTTCTGCTTCGATGGATGCGCCGTTCCTGGCGGGCGAGGCCTCGGCCACCAGCTCCCCAGCCCGTGGCGGTCATGTCCTACTTCACCCCGGAGTTGAAGGGGCCCTGGGACACACAAATAAATACACACAAATAACCGGATTCCCCATAGTTTCGCATATTTTCTGGGTTTCTGTTGTCCCCCCACTTCTCATATTTTCCCCTATTTTCCTGGGAATCGACGATTCATCGTGTCTGTGTTTTTCTCCTCCTGAAGAGTTGCAGGTCGGGGCCTGGGGCCCCCTGCCCCGGAGCTGCCGCTGCGCGGCGGCCTGGAAGCGCGCGGTGCCACCGCGGAGAGGGTTTCCGCTCCCGAGGGCGGCGGCCCCTTCAGCCATGCACGGCAGGCCTGGTGGCGTGTGCCAGCCGGCCAGCCCCGGCGCTGTGAGTAGCCCAGGTCGGGCATGTCCTCGGACTACAGGCGGATGTCCGAAGAACACCGCAAACAGTGGAGAAATGCCCCCCATATCATCGAACCGATTCGAAGAATCGTCCCCCAGACTATTTCTTTGCTATTTCAACATGTTTCCTCCTGTTTTTTTTTTTTTTTTTTTTTTTTTTTTTGTTTTTTTTTTCCCGTCCGGAATTCAACGGGCGCCTCTCCCGAATCACCACCAGCCTCCTGCGCAGCCACCGGGCCCACCTGCGCACAACTCAATGTGCATCGACCAGGCTGTACAGACATAGTCTCGGCCAAAATGGCTCTATACTGGGCACGACGAAAGTGCAGGAAAAAAACAGCAGGAAGATACGTTCAGGCCTAGATGTGGACGGGTGGAAAAGCACAAGAGGGGCTACGGCTACGCGGAGCGGAGCACGGGGTCAGCGATGCGCGGACGAGGAGCCCAGAACGGAGAGGGGGAAGCAGGAGGGACCAGCGACTAAACGACTAAACGACCACAGGAATTGGCCGACTCCTGTGCTGAGAAAGCAGGCGTCCTAATAAGACCCCGGACGCGGCTCACGAAACCCGACGAAGATCAGGATGAACATGTGGTTATGGTAGATGATGAAGCCAGCGGGCGGCCACGCACGCCGAGGTAGCGACGACGGGCGGTCCGAGCCTCCGCTCGGAGCGAACCGCCACCGGGCCCAGCGAAGCAGCCAGCGCCCACCCGCCCAGAACAGCACCCCTCCGCCGAAGAACGTGATATGCTGTCCAGTGAACGTGATATGCTTTAGGAGGCAACTTTAACCCAAGTTCTACGCAGGAGACCAATCCGTCGGGCTGCAACCCATATCAGATTCCCTCATGAGCGCGCACAGCTCGGCCCTGACGTCGTCCACCTGCACGTCGAAGAAATGATCCCTCACTAGGCTACTCCCAGGCACGTCCGGCCGCAATCTAATATGCGCGAACGTGGCGATGGCGCCCGGCCCCGTGTGCGGCTTCGCACAAGTTGTACATGCCCTCATGTGTGGTGGAGTCCCGCAATGTAGAGGATAGTGCACCCAACCGTTCACCACTCGCTCAGGCCGCATGATCGGTTTTCTGAGCCCCCCGGGTATCCCCCCCACATGGGTATGATTCTCGCGCAACTGGGCTTCTATCAAGAGCTGCCTTTCACTTCCCGGCTTCTTCCACATTGTCCAAAGATAATATTCAAAGTCGGCCTCTGTGCAATTGGCGAACGAAGCTTGTGCAATGCCGTACATTCGAGAAGGGATGTCCGAATATGGTATCAAATACTCGTCGAAATCCAATGAGACGACGAACTCGCTCATCCCTTTGAATCTGTTCAAACAGTCATTGATGAACACTTGTTGTTGCATGCGCTGATAAAAATGACCACATGGAGTTTCAAATCGCAAATCATAAACAGTATCGGTACTCTGTGCGTCATCATCGACCAACAAGATGGTAACAAGCCCGCGACTCACAAAGGAGGAGAGCAATCTCATCAGATGGCTCCGTCCACTCCGACGAAGATACACGACCATCTGGGAAGCGCCAAAGCCGAGGTGATAGACAAACGACTGCGGCAGCTGGTGGACCGCAAGTCTCGACGGGGGCGTCGCATAGCAAAACGTGATATCGTACGGTTTGTTCGGCATCGGCAACAAGAACGGACGGTGACAATCTGTGATGCTGGCCACGGAAGTTCGATTAGCGTCGACCACGTCGAAACTAATGCAGGTTGTGGGCCCGGCACTGCGATTCGCCCACGCGGCCGCCTCCGCGCTGGGGAGCGTCGCGTACCACAAGGAACCGCTTGGCTTGTAAAATTGAGCGGTTTCACCAGAGCCGTACACTACATGATGAACACTCGCTCGGGCTGCATGACGAAGTTCTGTTAGGCGACTTGGTGCTGGATGTCCACCTCCGAGGCGCCGTTGATTATCACCTGCGAGCAAAGACAACGCCAATAGGGGTGTCGAAACACCAAACTGCTTATGAACTAATACCGCTGAAAGAACAGGTATATTGGTAATCGTTCCGTTTACCTTGACAGGTATGAGACCACGAACCTTCAAAGTCGCAAGCACCCTGTCATCTCTGAGATTTGACTTGGCCTGCGCATAAACGCCCACCCAACTTGCAGGATGCCCATGCTCAGCCACCCGAACTAGAGGAAGCGATCCGAATCTGCCCAGCACAAGCGCATAAACCATGCCCGCAGAAAGGGCTATGAGCCATGCACACAGAAAGGGCAGCGCGACGGAGGGTAGGCGGGGCACCAGCGGCATTGTGAAGAAGCGTTGAAATCGGTTTAGGGCAAAATGGCTTCAGACACCGTGCTCCTGAGCTACATAGGCTTGGGCCAAAGTGGCTTGGGCTTGAGCCATTTCAACATGTTTCCTCCTGTAAGGGGACATGTCCGACTTAAGGGTAGCCCTCGCGTTCTGCTGCTACCTGAGGCCGATCGAGTGCCTCCGCCTGAAGGGTAGGGACCTGGTGCGGCCGTCGCCGGCGGCCGCACCGCAGCACGCGTCGTGGGGCCTCTTGCTCCACGACCTCCTGGCGGGTCCCGAGAACATGCACCACTACCGCCACCTCCGTTCACCCTCCCTCCTATACGTTCCTCTTCCCCTCCTCCTTCCTGGGAGAGGAAGAGGGTGAAGGAAGGGTGGCGGTGTATATTTTTTGGGGCCCGTACTCCCGTCACAGGTTCCTGGGGAGAATGAACGCCATAAACAGAAACTTTTGGCGCTCAACGCGGATCTCTTGGATCCGCGCCGAACCCCCCTTGCTGGCGCTCGGAGCGCGCCAGGGTCGGCGCCGGATACGCCGCCGTGGGGGCCCAGCGCGGGTCCCGCGCGGAGCGCCGAAAGTTTCTGTTTATGATACTGCTTCGGGGGTGCAAGAACATGGATAGGCCATCCATGGATTTGGCGCGCGGTCGCCAAATCCATGGATCGGGGGAGGTGGAAATCCGCGATTTCCCATGGAAACGGGACCCGCCGCTAGTCCACGCCCCTTGATCCCCTGGAAACGGGACCCGCCCCTAACCCACGCCCCTTCGATTCCAGGGCCGACGAAACCCAGGAGTCCGTCGGGATGGGCCTGGGCCCGTGGCTGAAGGTGGCAAGGGCAGCGCTGAAGAGTCGGCGACGTGCCCGACGGCGCTCCGAGCTCTCGGGGCCTTCGGCGGCCAGCCGCTAGCCGAAGAGGCACCTCCTTGCCGCCGCCGACCCGCTGGGCCTGCAGGCGCTCTCGCCGCACCTGTACAGCTCCTCCTCCTCCTCCTCCTCCTCCTCCTCCTCCTCCTCGTCCTCCTCCTCCTCCTCCTCCTCCTCCTCCTCCTCCCTCCTCCCCCTCCTCCCCCCCTCCTCCCCCTCCTCCTCCTCCTCCTCCTCCTCCTCCTCCTCCTCCTCCCCCTCCTCCTCCTCCCCCTCCCCCTCCCCTCCCCCTCCTCCCCCCCCCCCTCCCCCTCCTCCTCCTCCTCCTCCTCCTCCTCCTCCTCCTCCTCCTCCTCCTCCTCCCTTCGCCACGGAGGAGCTTCGGAGGACATCCTGGGTCGTCGCCGCACCGTGGCGGAGACCCAGAGGCGGAGCCGCTGGCAGGCGCAATCGCCGCACCTGTACTAAAAGGGCCCAGGGACAAACAAGTAAAAAGACAATCCAAGGATTCCCGCTCGTTTTCCAATATGTTCAGGGCTTTCGTCTTCCCCCCCACTTCCCAGATTTTCCTATACTCTCCTGGAAGTCAACGATTCATTGTGTCTGTGTGTTCTTTCTTTTCCCTCCTGATGTACAGCCTTCGCCACGGAGGAGCTTCGGAGGACATCCTGGCTCGTCGCCGCACCGTGGCGGAGACCCAGAGTCGGAGCCGCTGGCAGGCTCCTGCGAAGGAGACCTCCTAGATGGGGTCCGAGCAGGTGGGGTCGGAGGATCGCGCCTCATCGCCAATGCATCGGCGATGCATCGGCGATGCGTCGCCGACGTCGGCATCACATCGGCGACGTCGTTCTGGAGGCAACCGGCCTCCGCATCGAGCCGCATCCCCCGATGCATTGGCCATGTGGCGCGATCCTGCGAGCCCATCGGCTCCGACCCCTTCTGGGAGGCCTCGATCTGCGAAGGAGACTGAGCTTCTGACCGAGGTGGCCCGAGCCCGAGGAGCAAGACTCGTCAACAAAATGACGGCTTATATTTTCGGTGCTGGTCGGCGTTACGTCAATGCTGGCATGAGGTATTCGGCCCAGACAGGGGTGTCCGAAATCGGGCAGAGCCCCCAAAGCATTGAAGAACGCGTTTTCTGACAAGTACCCGAACTACCGAGCGCTTCGATTTTGAACAACGTTCAACTTTATGTTTGACGAGGCTTGTAGGCAAGAAAGGCCTTTGGTGCGCGGCTTCACGGGGGACGCAGGGTGACCAGACCTGGGCGCGCAAGCCGCTGCCACCGCTTCGCGCTCAGCGATCGGGTGGACCCCACTGTGCCCACACCAAAGGTCCCTCCGGCGAAAGGTCACTCTTACGTCTAGTCGATCGCTTGGCCACAAAGCTCGCCGGGGTTTTGAAGGGCGCCTGGAGCAGGCGCCGCTGCTGCTTTCTCGAGCTTCTCGCGGGGTGCGGATAGTTCGGGCTCGCGTTCAGACGCGCGGAACTTGCAGGTGTGAGCCTAGGCATTGCCGGTGGACCTTGCGAGACTCACTTGTCAGCGACCTTTGACGAGTACAATCAATCCGCATAGTAAGGATGGGCAACCTTCCCTACGGTACCCTTGCATCCGTGCCTCCTGGGTCCATCCTTGGCCACTTTGTTGGCCGCGCCCCGCTCGAGAAGCTTTTGAAGTGAGCGTCGGAGGCCCTTGCCCTTGCATCGTCCTCGCGCATCCTTCTGAGACGGGTCGGCTCTAGCCAGCTGGATACAAAAAGGGCAGGCACTGGAGTTAAGCTCGGCACACCTTTGAGGGGCAACGATAGGGAAGGACTGGCATAGGGGGGGATGCATCGTCCTGGAATCGGCGATACATCGCCGATAGATCGGCAGTAGGCGCCCGATCGTGAATCCGAACCTTCCTGTGTTTGGACTGTCGAGCCCCTATCGGCGATCTATGGGCGATTGGGGGCAGACGCCCCCCCTTAAGCAGGGACCGACCGTTCAGGCATTTCTATAGTCCTACCACGAAATGCTCTTTCAACCCAAAACCCGATGTGTGAAAAGCAGACGGACTCCGCCAGAAATGCTGTGAGAACCCTTCGAGGGAACCACCAAAAGGTTCTGAGACCATCGATCGGTAGGGCTACAGGCACGCCACGACGCTTCGCCACTGCTCGATATCCCTATCCCCCCCTGTCGTTGCCCCCGAACCCGAGCGCTGCGCCGGGCCCTGCGCTCGGCCGCAGCGCCCGTGGGCCTCCTCCGACCCTTCGGGGAGACGTAAGACCCGGGTACGGAGGACGTAGACTAGATTCACCTCCCTGGCGCGCGGAGCGGGCCAGGGCGGCCAAGCGGCGCTTCGAGAAATTCGCGTGGAACTCCGAAGGGTAAGGTTTTGATGTTTGGTTCCGTTTCCTTCTTCGGACAGTCATTGCCCTCGACCGAACCGAACCGACGAACCGAACCGAACCGACCCTCATCTTTCGGGGAGACGTAAGACCCGGGTACGGGGGACTCGGAAATCCCCGACGAGGTCGTCAAAAAAGTGACGAGGCCGAGCCTGCATTTTGACGAGGCCTCCCGCTGCAGACATCCCACAAAACTCCTCCTCGTCAAAATCCGAGTCGCGGTCGTCAAAAAACGATGGCGAACCCGAGTCCTGGCAAGCCCGGGTCTTACGCTCCCCCGAACCCTGCGCCCCGTCGGAAGAGGCCCGGCTGCACGCTGGGAACCCGCCTTTTCACGTCTTTGGGCGCCCGAGTTGTCCGGGGGCAACTCGGGTCCGGGGTAACTCGGGTTCGGGTTCCCGAAAAACGAACCCGAGTTAGCCCTGACCCGAGTTACCCCTGATGATTCGGGGCTCTGGACGCCCGAGTTGTCCGGGGCAACTCGGGTCCGGGGCAACTCGGGTTCGGGTTCCCGAAAAACGAACCCGAGTTAGCCCTGACCCGAGTTACCCCCGATGGTTCGGGGCTCTGACGTCTCGCGTGAGGTCGGGCCTGTCCCCCTACAGGGGGATTTGAGGCGAACAAGTAAAGATAGTCAACCGATACTCTAAAGTAGTCAAGAGTGGTCAAAAAATCATCCCCGATGTTTTGACTGTTTTTGAACATTCCTCCTGTAGAGGGACACGCCCGACTTCAGTCTCGCGCCGAGCTGCATCGCCGATCTGGCGAACCCTGAGATTCCAGGCTCTCGCTCGCCTCCCCTCCCTCTGCCTCCTTCGCCAGCCACGTGTCCCGATGTGGCACGCCGTGGGAGCAGCCAGCAAGGATCGCCGCCCGGCACGGCCGCTTGGGCGATGACCTGGACGACAAGTGCTGTCCCGTAGGTCGCGCTTGTGCTCGGCGGTGGGCAAACATCCCTTTAGTAAACCACCCTCTAATGAAGACGGCCTGGGACCGAAACCGACGGACCTGGACCCGCAAAAATGACGGCCGCGACGCCCTCTCGCGAACCGAAGACGGCCAATTCACTAACCCACGTGTCAGGGTAGGAGGTCTATCAACCTCCGATGTTCCAGGTGCAAGCATGCTCACCTTGTGTGCTCAGTGGCCGGGCCCCAGCAGGAACAAGGAAAGGCGACACAAACACCAACAGGGCGAGGCGAGGCGAGGAGGCAAGGGGAATCTCCCTGGTGGTGTGGCCCCCCCTCTCGCTCGAGACATCCCCAGCCTCCAGCTCGGGGAAGCGTCGTGGACCCTCTTGCTGGAGGTGGGCCCCCTGGTGGTGTTGGTGTCGCTCCTCCTCCTCCCGACCCCCAGGGGGTGTACACGGCACCGCACTGGCTGCCGCCTGCCCTGCCGCCGTCGCCCAGGCTGCAGCCGCCCAGATGATAGAATGCTCACGCTGTTCAGTCAGTCCGAACGTCTCGCTCGTTCAAACGACTTTGTTACTTTTGCTCTGGCTTCTTCCTTCTAGTATCCATGCGGCCTTTCGGTCAGCCCTGCATGTCGGGAGCGGGTGCAGTGCCGAAGTCTCGCGCAGCCAGCTGTCACGTGTAGTTGTTCACGTCCGCCTTGCTCGGTCTTCTCAAAAAGCATCGTCCTGGCCTAGTGGAGTCGCCTAACTTGCTCGGACATTTGGGAAGCAAGCGTAACAGCGAGGGGGGGCGGGGCACACCTGTGTCGTCTCCAATTATCCTCCCTCCCACCTCTCTCTCTCTCTCTCTCTCTCTCCTCCTTCCGTCGATTGTTTTTTGTTTCGTCTCCTCGAACAGACTCGGGGTGCAATGTCGAAATCTCGCGCAGCCAGCTGTAGCGTGAAACTGCTCACGTTCGCTGTTGCAAACCAAAGTTGTGTGATACGCGTATCCGACGAGCGACGGCACGAACAACAAAACAAATACGAACGAAACGTCGACTCAGCACACCTGCTGACACGACGACACAGTGATGTACGTGACTCGCAAATTCGAAGCGCGTAAGCGCCTGTAGCGCATCCACGATGGACAATAGTCTGAAAGACGCGAAATGGACAAACTAGAATGACACATGTGCTTATGTATATATACATATTAAGGAACACAAAGAACGTGCAACAACTGTCAGATGATGATATCGGGAGGGGGGCGCGGCGTAGGAGAAGCAGGTGGATAGAGAAGCAAAGAGGTAGAGGGAGAGAGAGCCAGAGAAGGACAACGGGAGAGGAGTGGAAGAGGGGCGAGAGGTGGGCAGAGGAGAAGAGAAGGGGAGAGAGTGGCAGTGGATGAAGAGAAAGAAGGAGGGATGGGAAAGAGGAAGCAAGAGGACGAGGGAGGGGAAGGGGCACCAAATTAATGCTCCAGATGAGTACCCGCATGCGGGAACACTAGGAACGCGTAGAACACATAGCGACGGACGAAGAGCTCAAGTAGCGCCCCCCCTTCGGTGGCAACTCATGGGAGCCTCCCATGCCATCTTGTCGGCTCTTGCGAACTCACCGAAGCTAAATGACGCTAACTGACGCTAAAATCGGCGCTACCTCATCGACTGCCAGACGCTGATCGACGCTAAAGACGGAATTGAGAGGGTACACCAGGCTCCCAGGATTTGCTACCAAATCCCCAGAAAACAAACACAACAATCTCAATTTCTCTCTGGGCGGTTACGGTTGTAGTCCAACGGTGATGGTCAATCGAACCTGCGCGACTCCAATTGCACCTGACATGCGGAGATACTCAAAGCAAACTGCGCGACAAACACCGAAGATGTATGGGGTAGCGAATCGCATCCTCCGTGAAGTAGCGCACCGTTATGTCACCGACGGATCCATCCTGACAGGCGTGATCGCACGGCGGCGAGGTTCATGGACGGATGCGAGCGGAAGGTACCCACGAATCGTGGAGACGTAGGACTCGGGAACGCGGGACTCGGGTTGGCCTGACGGGGCCATCATGAACATGATGAGACCTGGTCTGAAATTAGATGCGAACTCCCGCTGCAAACGTCCCACGAAAACCGGACCGTCAAAATCCAGAACGCGCTCGTCAAAAACTGCAGCAAACCCGAGTTCGGGCTTACTCGAATCGCACGTATCCCCGAACCTATGCACCACCATGTTTGGATTCAAATCATCAGAGGTCTTCGGCAAAACGAAGACGGGTTACTAAGCCCTATTCAGGGGCCGCTGTGCCGGCTTACGCCAGATGAAGCCCGGCATCGAGCTAGACTCGACAGGAAGAGCCAGATTAAACGGGATCTGGTGGGACCGAGCTGGATGAGGCCAGTTCTGCACCAGAGATATATAGGCACAAATCCAGAATCTAACCTCCCTGCAGCTGCACATGCTTGGCCAGGGCTATCATAGGCACTGGGCTGATGTGTGACCTCCCTGGCCGAAGCCTAGCAGGTGTATGCACCAGCCAGCCCTTGGTGTCCCCGGCCCGACGTGGCAGTGTAAAGCTGCCCCGTACGGAGAGCAGTGGATGTTTGCTTTAGGTCGGGCATGCCCTCCTACAGGCGGATTTTGAAGAAAACATGATGCATGGTCGAATATACAACAATGGTCAAGGACAGTCGAAAGATCGTCCCCAGATTCTGTTTTTGTAAATTCCCCATGTAAAGGGACATGCCCGACTGAACAAGAACCGCGCACGGAAAGGGCATCCGTGGGTGGACAATGGAAGATGGGAGGTCGGGGGGCGAATTAGAAGTGAAACGGACCCCCCCCCGAAATCGGTTCCAGTATTATGTTCGCGTATCGTGCGTGCTGGCGACGCGGAGCTGCGTGGGCGGGAGAGATGGATCAACCCGCCGTGGCTCGGGAGAAAATTAATTCATTGACTCTACGCTCCCCGGTTGGCCATCGGTTGCTCGGGGGTATCCCGCCGGTGTCCCGCTGGTGTCCCAGGTACCGCGGCGCGGTGGCCCGTGGTGTCCTGTGGCGAGGTGTTCCATGGTGTCCCGTGTCGCAGTGTCCTGTGGTGCCCCAAGAGGTCGATAATTAGTGAGATCGCTCGTGGGATCCACTGTGGCATCGATAAAAAAATGGCAGTTAGCTCGACAGTGTGAGGTTTTGACTGTAAGATGGATCGATACTGGGATCGATAGATAGAGGGATCTCGATAGTGGTATCGATAGGTAGGTCAATAGATAGAACAGGCGAGTGGTAACGCCAGGTGCTGCCAGCCAACTCCTGGCCTCAGCGCCCACACTCTGTGAGCATGGCCCTCACACGCGTCGCCCTCGGCTTTCTGTGAGCGGCCTGGTCGCGCTGAAGGCTCCTGGGCGGAAGGCGAATCCTGGGTCAGAACAAGACACGTTGACCACATCGGTTGCGCTAGTACCGTGAAATCGGATATCATGATCACCATCGTCTTCATGGCCATCATCATCATCAGCAGCAGAACAATCAGCATCAACACAATCGTCATCACCACCACCCATCTTGTCATCACCATCACCGCACAGCAGTGCAGGCTTTCGACCATCTGGCGCGCCACAGGATGGCTTGTCGGTAATGTGATCGATTGGTAGAAAGACTGCAAATGTGATAAACAATGAGAAGGTCGGTGATCGGAGGCTGTGGAGAGATCGATGATAAGATCTATAGTGGTTTCCTGTGATGTCTCGCGGTGTCCCAAGGTCTTGTTTGTATGTTCTGAGCATGCTCCTCAAAATAAAGAACAACGCGCGGGCAAACGAATGCCATCTGGTTCCGCTGATGGCCCCTACGTTTTCTTGGCAGATGTCCCGTTAAATAGGTAGGGTGGCGAGCATCCTTGTGCGTTGTACGGACGCTTGGAACGGCGCGCGGCATCGCCGGAAAAAAGGCCAGCCGCATCAGAAAGGTGCGCGAGAAGGATACGAGGGCCTTCGAGGGCCATGTTGGCGCTTTCGAACGGGGTTGGCCAGCGAAGGTCGCCAAGGATGGGTCGAGGGCGCAGGGATGCGAGGGGAGCCCTGGAAAATTGCACACTCTGACTCTGCGACTTAACTGTTAGGAGGCAACTAATGGGAGGTATTCGTCAGAAGGATGAAGGAGGATTCAGCCCCAATGGGGCGCTGTTGCGCCAAATTGGGCCTCGCATTAAGCGGGACTAAGCCGGATTAGGCGGGATTAAGCGGGATTGAGCCAGCTTAAGCGGGATTTCGCCAGATTAAGCCGGATTTCGGACCAGCGCTAAATCAGAATTTGACCTCCCAGGAGCTGCATCCGAATAACTGTAGCCGCCACACCCGGCACTTCTTATTCTGACTGTAAGCAGCAAGACAACGTCGACGTCTCGTCTCAACTTGGGCTCTGTTGCCGCCAACGATCCGCAGTGCGGGGCAGGACATCGCGGCATGTCCTCCCGTGGCCGACGATGCCACGTGTGTGACCACACATCGCGCCGTCGGCGATGCAACAAGAGCGGCAGGAACGGGACGCGGCGCGCACCGCGCCCTGGACTCCCGTCCGCCACGCGCTGAACGACGAAGAGTCTTCGTCTTTGCATCCTCGACGCAGCATCTCCGTCGAGGATGCCATGAAAAAGCGTGGCAGGAACGGAGCGCCGCGCGCTCCGCGCCCTGGACTTCCTGCCGCCGACGGGGCAGAACGCGTGCAGACGCGGCACTTCTCGCGCGACGGCCGTGTCGTGCGCGCCGTGCTCTCCGGAGGCACTCGGAAGGTCGTCGAGGGGTTCGATCGCCTCACGCGCGGCTGGGGGCCCTGGAGGATGCTTTTTCGGACGCCCCGTCGCCTTTGGGTGCCGCTCTGCTGGCGTCTGGGGTGCAGGTCGATCGAAAATCAAACATTCCAACACGATCGAACCTAGGAGGAGGAGGAGGCGGAGGAGGAGGAGGAGGAGGACGAGGAGGAGGAGGATGAGCAGGAGGAGCGACTTCCAGTCCCATTGTTCTGACTGGCGGCGCTGATTCTGCTGTCGTGGGAGGGCGGGTGGACGTGGCTGGGACCCACTGACTCGCTCGAGCGGGCAATCTTGACAGCTCCTCCTGCTCCTCCTCCTCCTCCTCCTCCTCACTTCTCGTCCTCTCCTTCCGTTCCTGCCCGTGGGGGGGACAATGAGGGTGGACCAGCTCAGGGGAGGGGGAATATCGATCTGGGATCGGCGATGCATCGCAGGTAGATCGGCGTTAGCCCCCATAGCCCTCGAGAGCGAATCCACACGTTCCTGGGCCGGTTGGGCTTATCTGGCCCCTCTGGCGATGCATGGGCGATTGGGCGCAAATCCATTCGTCTCTGACTTATCCAATCCTAGCGCTATGTTGCTCCCATCGTACTTTGAACCAAGTTCCAGAAATAATTTCGAGCACCCAGAAAAGTGTCGAAAGAAAGTCGAAACAGTGTCGGACGAGCGTCTCCCAGGGTCCGACACGTGAAAACCCTCGAGTTTCGGTACATTTGATGATGCTCGAAATGCTTTCTGGTGATCAAGGCTAAAGTACCTTGGAACATCATAATCCTGGCGCTGCCCCTGTGGTTTCGGGTCATACCTCTGCTTTCCGGCGGCCGTTCGGGACGATCCGGGCACCCCCAGACGGCTCTGGGCGAGGCGCACCTGCTGGGACGCACCCCGAGACTGGAAAGCTCGCGAGAGCCAACGAACAGGTCTGAAGGCCTCTACCTCGATTCTCACTGTTCCCACTGGGGGCCGATGCATTCCAGACGTTGGACTCTCTCCTCTCATCCTCTTCACCGTGAGCATGCCGACCCCAATCCCTGACTTTGCGGGGTTCCGAAAAAAACAGAAACGTTTGGGGCCCGAAACGGGGAATCACGAAGGGTGGGGCCGTCCATCGTCGATACGGGTGCGTCCCAGCAGATGCCCTAAAAAGGGGGGCATCCCCGAGTCCCCTCCCTTTCTCTGACCGGCCTCACGTTTCGGGCGGAATTCGGAGACGGGGATCGATCAATCACCCGCTGCGGCTGCCCGGCCCTCGCTCCTCCGCCGGCGGCAGGGAGGGGCTGGGACCCCCCCCCGCACAGCGTTAGGTCGGGCATGTCATTTCGAAGGAAAATTAAAAGTACCCCCAAAAATGCTCAAAAATAGTCATAAAATGGTCCCCAAACTATTTTGGGACTACTTCTGGATATTCCCCCTGTAGAGGGACAGGCCCGACTTAGGCACAGCGTCGGGCCGCTCCTTCCGCTCCACGGTGAGCTGGAGAGGCAGGTCCTCGTTGGCCTGCTCGATGTAGGTCTCCTCGCTACCTCGGCGGGTCTGCGCAGGCCAGGCAGAGCCTTGCACCAGACTTCGGCCGGGCGCGTCCTCCTGCAGGCGGATCCTGGACAACACCAGAAGGAAAAGTCAGAGTCGTCCCCCGGCGATGCTCCTCTGATCTTGCGATTTTTCCCCGTGTAGAGGGCCACGCCCGACTTCACACCAGACGGTGCGCGGGCAGAGGGGACGCGGAGAACAGCCGAATGCCTTCCGCACCCTATCCAGCCTCTCACAACCAGCTCCTGCGCCGACCTCTCCGTCGGCGGCGCGCACGAGGAGGAAGGGGCGATGGGGGGAAGGCTTCTCAAAGGGAGGCCGCTTCGTAGAGGGCGCTGGCCCTGCATTTACAGACAAGGCCCGCGCCTCTTCAGAATCATGGATTTTTCTAAGAAGCCGGCCCCCCTCTCCCTTCCCCCCTCTGCGCGTGGCCGACCCTGCGCGGGAAACGTAACTGAGACGCACGCGAGCGAGCAGGCAAACTTCCGTGCAACTGCGCGGCGCGTCGCAAGGTGCCTCCCACGTCAATCGAGGTCGGCCTCTCCCAGGGGTCAAGCTAAACAGTGTTCCCATTTTCGGGTTGTTGTTCGTTCTCCTCCGTTCTGTCTTCGTGAAGGGGCCCAAGGACACACAAACAAATACACACAAATCCACGGATTTCCCAGACTTTTCAAAATGTTCTGGGTGTTCGCCTGCCCCCCCATTTCCTATATTCCCCGTATTGTCATGGGGATCGACGACTGATCGTTCCCTCCTGACTTCGCTCTGCCCTTGCTGCGAAACGAAATCATATCGAAAACAGCCCACGAGATCGCAACAAAAACACCGTTCAGCCCGAGCCCTGGCCCCTCTCCCGATCGCGCCGACGCCCCTCTCCGTGGCCCGCTGGCGCGCCCACGCGGACGCCGAGCTTGGCCGGGGTCTGGCGATGCCAAGGCGAAGCTCCAGGGCACCCATCGGGGGCGACGAGGGGGGCGAATCGCCCAGGTGGGGGGGCACTACACGCATCCAGAGGCGCCGATGGCCCACGCCTCGGCGAGGCTCCCCGGCGAAGGCATCAGAGGCCTCCCAGAGGGGGTGGGAGTAGATGGGGTCGCAGGTTCGCGCCACATCGCCGAAGCATCGGCGATGCATCGGCTACGTCGGCGATGCATCGGGGACGTCGGCGTGGGGAAACACGGGCTCCACATCCAGCCGCATCGTCGATGCAACGGCGACGCGGCGCGATCCCCCGACCCCATCTACTCGGACCCCGTCAGGAGGCCTGGAATCCAGAGGTGTCGATGGTCCATGCCTTCGGCGAGGCTCCCGGGCGAATGGATGTAATGCCCGCCCGTGGGCTACTTACTCTCTGGAGGGGGAAAAACACACAGACACAATTAATCTTCGATCCCCCAAAAAATATTAGAAAATATTGGAATTGGGCGGGAAGACGAAAAACCAGAAAATATGACAATATGGGGAATCCTCTTATTCGCGTGCATTTATTTATTTGTGTATCCTTGGGCCCCTGGCCGGGCTCCTCGCCCCTGTCGTCGCACTCGGGCCCAGCGGGTTCCGCCGCTGCGGCGGCGCGCAGCGCGGCTGACCGGCCGGCGCTGTCCAGCCTGGTCCTCCTCGGACTGGTCGGCCGGCGCAGCTGCACAGTCAACGCGTTTAGTGAGGATACACGGTGAGGATGCAGGGGCCCTGGAAGCCCACGTCGACGCTGTTCGACGCAGTTCGACCGGGGCGCGGCCACCGAAAGCGGACAAGGATGGGCCGAAGCGGAAGGATCGAAAATAGAATGAGAAAAACGCTGTTCCTTCCTAGCCGTGCTGTTTGTGTGATGGTACGCGGTTGCTGCGCGGGGGCTCCAGAAAGCAAGTGGCAGGGGCCCCAGCAGCCTTCGAGACCCAGAGAGGGGGGTCGCACATCGATGCCCCCCCGCATGGCGCGGAGGAGGGAGGTGTCGAGGGAGGGGGTGGAGCGAGGGAGAGGAGGGAGGGAGGGAGAGAGACAGAAAGGGACGAGGAGGTGGAGAGGGTGGGAAGGAGGGAGGGAGGGCGGGAAAGAGGGAGGGGGGGAGGGAGGGAGGGAGGGAGGGAGAGGAGGTGGTGGCGGTGAAGCCGCTGGGGGCCGCGTCCGATTCGCTTGCGTCGCATCGGGCCCCTAGGAAAGAAATGGAAGCAATCAAGGATGGGGCGTGCGCCTGTCCCTCCCACGCCGCCTACGGCGAACGCCGCGGCCTCTCGCTGCAAGCGCTGCCGCTTCGGCAGAGGCCCTCGTCGCAATTTTAAAACCTCAAACTCGTGCGTGTGTGGTTACCCCTTCATGGGGCGAGCCACGCGCCCGTCACTGCTGAATCTCTGGCCTCGCGAGGCCTGGGAGACGGACAAAATCGGTTCGACAAGAGCTGACGGGCCGTCTCTACCCTGCCCTCCCCAGCGCGCGTCCATGGGCTGTCCTGCCACGCGAACTTCGAGCAGCGCTGATCGTCCAGCAGCCCGCGCGGGTCGGCGGGGGGCCCAGCCCATTCGGAAGGGGGGGAGGGGGGCGAGCAGCAGCAGCAAGCTCTCTCGAGGAGGGGGGGGAAGGCTACACGTGCTGGCTCTCGCTACTGCCCCCCCTCCCGCTCACTGCCCCCGCTCGGCCTCGAGATCTCCCAGTCGAAACGCTGCGCCCCATAGCCGGACTCATCGAGCACCCTTATGCAATCATGCAGACGTTCCAGCTCGTCACTCAGGTAGTGAATCTGACTGTCAATGTTGCGACGCGTGGTGATGCGGTCTGCCTCGAGCTGCGTATCATTCACGACTGGGAACATAATATTGCCCCTCTGGAGCTGGAGGTAACTGAGCTGGCTGTTCAGGAGACTGCACTGTCCAAGCATAATGCGGTACTGGTCACGCAATATGCGGCCCGTCGAACGGTGGGCCTGCTGTGCTGCCTGCACTCTCCCCTGGTCAGTCTGGCTCCTGCGGGTCGGCGCTGCCTTAGAACGGATCGGCCCAGGTGGGCGTATTGTCGGCTGCTGTGGGACAGGAACTGCATTGGCTCCCGTAGCTACAGTAGGCGCCGCCCCCGCCGCGGCAGCAGTTCCAGTGGAGGGTGCTGGCCCAGACGCCATGGCGCGCAGCATTACAAGCAATCTCAATGTCAATCTGCACTGCGCGGTCCCCCTGCAGCTCGATAGAGACGGTAGTCCCACTCTCTCTCTCTCTCTCTCTCTCTCTCTCTCTCTCTCTCCATTCGTGTATTCTCTCTCCATTCGTGTAGTGCTGTGCGTCCTCAGTAAAAAATAAAGTCCACTTAAATACGCATATTGCAACTGGTGGGACATCTGACGCCTAACGAATTCTACTGCTCTGATTAACTGCCCGACTCTCTGCACCCCGCTGTCCCGCATCTTGTAGAGATTCGCAAGCTTCCGAAGATCACGAGCCAGCACGCGCGCGTGCTGCACCACCCTCTCTGGAAATTCCTCAACTGGCGCTCCACTGTCCTCTCCAACTCCGTCCTGGGTCCCGCTCCCGTCGGCTTGGTGCCCCCCCGCTTTGATCAACCCCAGGGTGAAGGCGCTCTGGAAGGCCCTCATGTCTACCGTGGGCACATGTGCTGGGGGTCCCGTGGCCAGGTGGATCACCGTCCTGAGGTCGGGGCTCATGTTGAGCGAGTACTGAAGTTTGGCCTTGCGCTCCTGCTCTGGCGCTCCGTCTGGGCTGTAACACTCCCGCAGTCGGGGCATCCTGAAAAACTCGTCCACGCATGCGTTCCCGCACTCCTCTGGGCCTGCTGCTTCCATCCACGACGCGAGTGCCTTCTTGGCTCCCCCCTCGGCCCCCTCGTCCCCGAACGCGTCGCGCATCGCCCCGGTCAACCCCGCCGCTACGTGCACGCGGGGGGGGGGGGGGGGGGCAGCCTGTGCCCCTCGCCCGCTTCTTTGAATGTCTGGCGGTACCCCTGTCCAGCCTCGAAGCATTATCGGCGATTGAAGCTGTTCGTGGAAGGATCCAGAACTCGGTGCATATGTTGGCCATGCCTCTCTGTTCTGCCGCTACGCGGAGGGTTAACTGCTGGACAGTGACCAAGGCTTGCTGGAGTTCGGGGGCTGCGGCGACGTTGCCTGTTCCCACTTGCTCGTGCCCCCTGCCGCCTCCTCCTTTCCCAGATAGCTGCTGGCCCTTACTGCTGTTGTCCGCTCCGCTGGCCCCTTCCACCGCCCCCTTCTTCGTCGCCGACATCCAAGACATCCTCATCTCTGCCAAATCGTACTGTGCATGGTCCAGGATGGTGGCAGGTGACGCGTGACTGGAAATCGTCGAAGCTGCTAGCTTGATACTGGCAAACACTACAGATCAACTCGCCCACGCTTACTTCCGTCAGCTTGTGTTCCCATGTCGGGAAAGCAGTGTAGCAGATGCCCGCCCCCTCTGCCGCTCCTGCTGCGCGATCTGTCGCCACTCTCTTGCTGGAGGATTTCGATCTGCACCGCGGGCACTGGTTCGTGATCACAAGCTTAGGCATGAGCGGCTCTATCTTGTGCTGTGCTCTCCTGCGCGCTGCCAGCGCCGCTGCTGTCCGAAATCTGCATCCGCGCGCTACATCTGCCCCCTCCGAGTTTACACTCTGAAGATCACACCAAAATATTGTGTCAAGTTCTGCTGGGTTGTCTGCTTCTGGCTCTGTGGTTTCTGGCCGTGGTCTACTTTGTTTCCATTATCTAGCAATGCTGTTCAACAACGAAGGGTCCGACTTAAGCCACTTCTCTGTTTCTCCAGATCCCTCTGTAAATAAACTCATGTAGCTCGACCTTCTATCGCACCACTCTTTGAATTCTTCGTCGTGATTAGCTAAGTAGCGCATGTCCTCAAGATGCTGATTGGCCCGCGGAGTGGGCTGCTTAATGTTTTTGTGCTATGTGATGCGCTCCACCCCTATACTCTGGTCACTCTTGGACGCGCCGAAGACTGCTGCTATGACTGCCTCATGATCGTTCGGGAATTGCGACCAG